ACCCTACTGCCTCCACTGGTCTCCTGCCATGTTCCATGCTGCCCCCTGGTGGTCAGCGCATGTCACAGCAAGCAATTGAAGCCTCCAGATCAAATACCTGAGGGGACACTTTGCATATTAACCTAGATGGACTTAAAGATATGACTTTTATTCTGTGAGTTATAATGCAATAGATTTAATATATATTTTTATCCTCACTGGGAAATACGTTTTTCTTTGATTTTTAGAGAGAGGAGAAGGGAGAGCGAGAGGTGGGAGGGAGGGGGCAGAGAGAGAGAAACATCTATCGGTTGCCTCCCACACATGCTCCAACTGGGGTTCGAACCCATAACCCAGGTATGTGCCCTGACTGAGAATCAAATACGATACCTTTTGATGTAGGGGGTGACCCTCCAACCAACTGAGCCACATGGGCCAGGGCGAAGAGAATGACTATTTTGTTGTTTCAATTGTTCCAGCTTTGGCCTTTGGGAACTCCTCCAGGTTGGCTCCTATGCCCTTTGATGTGCCCCGTCATTTTCACTGAGCATGTCCTTACTTCCTGGCTTTTACATTTCTCCATAAAGATCACCAGAAACGCCAGATAATGACTGTCTTTTATAAAGGGCTCAGCATGTAATTTATATTAATGTAAAATGGTATTAAAATTATCAAAGCAAAGTATCATTCATTACATGCAAATTACAGATGGCAAGCCTAGGTACTGGGTGAGAGCAAGCATGACAGGTTGTAAATGCTACATAGGCAGAGGTTCAATCACCTTCCATTTTTATCCAAAATGTCACCACCACAGAGCAAGACAGGAGGCCTGTTAAGTCATGTGATATCATTTTAAGTGTGATGGTTCGGCTACTCTCCATTCCCAAAACTCATCTTCTACACTGGCAGAAAAGGTAGTTCAGTGGGACAAAGGTGTGTTATTAAATATGATGTATTTCTCTAATAACATTCATGAGATGAATTCACATCATTTGAAATATCGCACTAACTATTTTATTTAAAAAATGTTCTTGTGAGAGGGTGAGGAATCACACGTCTGTTCTTATTAGCAACTGGATTTGAATCCTCATATGACCTTCCCTTGCACTGCTGGCCAGCAAAAGTTTCTCAAAGGAAAATGGAAAAAAAAAATAGGAGCAATTCAGAAGAACGAAGAATAAAACAATTAAGTGTGTGTGTGTGTGTGTGTGTGTGTTTATGGGGGGAGCAAATACCCATTTTTGTAATTTAGAAATATTTCAAATGAAAACATTTGTAGTGTTCTGAGTAGAACTGATACAAATTAGTTTACTTAAGGCATTAAAATTAGGGCACAGATCAGGAATTTTAAAAAAAGTTGTTTTGCCATTAGTCTATTTAATATATATATTTAATTGATTTTTTTTTTACAGAGAGGAAGGGAGAGGGATAGAGAGTTAGAAATATTGATGAGAGAGAAACATCGATCAGCTGCCTCCTGCACACCCCCTACTGGAGATATTTCCTCAACCAAGGTATATGCTCTTGACCGGAATCAAACCTGGGACTCTTTAGTCCGCAGGCCAGCACTCTATCCACTGAGCCAAACCGATTAGGGCACCATTGGTCTATTTTTAAAAATATATATATATATTTTATTGATTTCAGAGAAGAAGGGATAGGGAGAGAGATAAACATCAATGATGAGGGAGAATCACTGATTGGCTGCCTCCTGCATGCCCAACACTGGGGATGGAACCTGCAACCCAGGCCTGTGCTCTGATTGGGAATCAAACCATGACCTCCTAGTTCATAAGTCAACATTCAACTGCTGACCCATGCAGGCCAGACAGTCTGGTTTTTTTGTTTGTTTGTTTGTTTTTTTAATGTTAAAATGACAGATTTGTCAATTCAGAAAGCGTAGCCAGACCAAGGAGTAGGGACACATTACTCTGGATCAAGAAGGAAAAGGTGTGCCCTGAAATAGGCCGGAGCCCAAATAAGAAACACATGTTCAGGTGATCTGTGTGCACCCATGTGAAGCTGGGGGAAAAAGTAAACAAGAAGACTGACTTCCTCATGTCAGACAGAGAGATGAGTTAGATTAAGCAGGACATAAGACAAGCTGCTGATTTTTCCCCTGAGCCCTACAGAGTTCAGCCATCCCTTTGCTGGTTTAGGTGTGCTGGCCTTTGCCACATCCGGGTAACTGAAGCCATGATGGGTATCATCAACGCTGTTCAAAGACTTTGCACCCATTGCTCTGGGAAGCCATGGCATCCCAGTGTCCTCAGCACCAAGATGCTGGTCCACCATACGTTAAGGTGACCAGATTTTAACATTGGTAAAGCGGGACACCATTGACCTGGGGGGGGGTGTTCTTGATTAAAAATTTGGTCTATATGGAGCAACAAAAATTTTCATAGAATGCAAAAATAGTATTGTAATATATATATTTTTAATTTCAACATAAGTACAATTTACAAATATAATAAATAAAAAATTATGTATAGTATTTTATTCTTTGGCATATTTCTCATTTGAGTGATTTTTTTTAGTAGATTGCTGTCATTGTTTAAAAGGTCATGAGATTTTTCACAAGAATTTGTTAAATTATATTTCACACATAAAATGGCTTTCAAACACTTAATTGTGATTTTTCTGATGTCCACACTTAATTGTGATTTTTCTGATGTCCACACTTTATTACCTTAGAAAAAGCGCATTCAGTCACAGCTTTAGTTCCTGGTAAGGACAGCGAGTATTCTACAATTCTAACAACTGATCACCAATGCGAACTTTGATAAGCAGTTCTCATTAATCAGTTCTCAACAATTATTTGTTATTATTAAAGTTTAACATTATAAAATTAACAAAAATAATATAAAACTCATATCCTGGCTAAATAGCCATATGGCCGCCGAAAACCGTATATTCCCTTCCTGTTCTCCCGCCGTTCCCTAGCTTGTCATGCATTCTTTCCAAAAATTGGGACTTTTTTAAAATGTCGAGGGACACGGGACAAATTGTTAAAAATCGCCCAAAGCGGGACATCTGGTCACCTTACCATTAGTGCACCTGGACCTTCAACACTTCAGATTCTTCATTTTCATGTTCCTCAGGATTCTGCCATTGTTGCCACTATTACCTCCTCAGAGCTGTGTGGGTGGGTCTCCTGCTCTTGGGTTAGTCTTCCGTTTAGATTGCTCTGACACACAAAAGTATTTAGAAAGCTGATGCTACCGATCTCATTTGTTAAGACCCAGGATGTTTGTTTTTTTCTTTTAAAGCTAATGAAACACTTATAAGAACATCTCTTTGCAGAAATCCCAGGATGTAGCTAATTCACAAGAGTTGCCCGAACATCATAGGTGAGGTATGAAGACAGCCCTCTATTGAGTAGGGGGTCAGCTTTGATTTGTCACCTGTGGGTCCGCTTCTCCTCCCCAACCCCACGTCTTCTCTATTTTTCAGGGACCAATGATTTATTGTTCAAATTGTCTTTATTTTCTCTCTTCCTGGATGTCTCCCATTTCTTTCACTATATCTTCCTACCACCAGATGGTGGAAAGGGGAAAAGAAAATAACGGTCCGGTGAATGAACGTGGTGGCTGGCAGAGTATGGTGAAAGGTGTGGTGGTGAATGGACTGGAGAAGGAGTTCCTGAGTTAGCCATGAATTCCCTGTTTCCATTCTAGTGCCCGCTCAAGGGTGGGCTGCGGGTAAATGTGGCACAATGATGCCCTGTGGCGAGGGAGCTAGCCTTTGCCTCAGTGTATTCCTGGAAACACCATGGGAGCCTGGAAACACTGCTGAGCAAAGGTACTCCACCTGGCCCAGACACGGGGCTCAGGAGACAGCCAGAGGGAGCGCCCACCGCGCCGTTCCCGCTGTGCCCTTCCCTGTCTTTCAGCATCTCCATCCCACCCTCCCCCTACGTGCCCACTCGCACCCGGGCTGCCGTTCCCACGCTGCACAGAAGGGACAGCATCTCTCCCACTGGTCCATGGGGACCCCTTCTCCCTGTTCCCAACAGCCCCTCCTTGCGAAGCCTTGTTTTGCGTCGCCTCGACCCCCGGGGACACCATCCATCACCCTCAGCAGGTTCCGTGCCCTCACCTGCCTGTGGGCTCACCTCCCCACGCCCGAACCACCCCCTGGCGAGCCCTCATGGTTGGCTCCCACGTGCCCTCCGTTCGGACCCCTGCCTCCCCCACGGACCCCCATCGTCTCAGGTCTCGAGGAGTCTCGCGGCATTTCCTGGGGCGTTCGCAGAGCCACCGCGGGTGCGGGTCAGCTTCGTGCGGAGCTGGGTTCCTCCCTAGGGGGCGGCGAGGCGGGGACACCGGGGCGCCGCAGCAGCAAGGACGCCCCGCCCCTCGAAAGCCCCGCCCACGACCACGCCCCAGGCCCCGCCCCCGCCCCAACAGCCGCGCGTCCCCAGCGGGCGGACGCTCCGCCTCTCGCAAGTCCCGCCCCGCCCACGCCCCCACCCCAGCAGCTGCACGTCCCCGGCAGGCGGAGCCGCAGGAGCCCCGCCCCCTCTAAAGCCCCGCCCAAGGCCACGCCTCCGGGCCACGCCCCCGCCCCGGCAGCCGCGCGTCCCCGGCAGGCGGAGCCGCAGGAGCACCGCGGCGGCGAGGAGGAGGGGAGAGCGGGCGGCGGGGCCGCGGCTGCCTGGCGCTGGGCTGGGCGGTGCTTTTTTTTTTTTTTTTTTTTTTTTTTTTTCTTTTTTCGCAATTTCCACTCGCGGGGAGCAGGAAACCCGGCGCAGCCGGGCGCAGCGGGCAGCGATGCAGCAGCAGCAGCGGGAGTCGCCCCGGGGCAGCAGCGACAGCGGCAGCAGAGGCAGCAGCGGGCGGCGCTGAGCCGCCGTGGCCGCTGCTATTGAGGAGGAAGCCAGCCCGGCTGCCGCGTCCCGATCCCCGCACCCCGGTCCCGGCGCGCCCCGACTCCCGCACCCCGACCCCCGCACCTCGATCCCCGCGCCCGCCTCCGCCAACTTTCACGCTGCCTCGGCGGCCCGGCCCGGCTCGACGCCAATGGGTGAGTGGGGGGCCGCCCGCCCCTGAATGCCCGGTGCCCATCCGAGCCTGAGGGCGGCGCGCCGGCTTCATTTAGAACCGCCGAGCCAGGCGGGCGCCCCGGGGTAGGGCCCCGATGGGTGACACCGCGGTGGGCATCCTGCCTGCCTTGCGCACCCCCATTCACTCCCACTCGCGCCCGTGTCTCCGAACCTCGCGGGGGCGCGGGCTGAGGACTGCTGGGGCCTGGCCCGGGCGGCGGGCTGAGGGATGCAGGGGGTGTGGTTGGCTTTTCGGGTGGGCGGGGAGAGTTCGGTCTTGGCCATTTTCTCGCTCCCCTGCACCGGAGGCGCGGGCACCGGAGCTGGTGGGTTCCTGCTTTGCGTGGGGCTCGCGGTGCCTGCCTCGCCCGCCCGCTGCGAGCGCAGCCGGATGCTCGGGGTCCGGGGCGGCGGGGACCAGGCTGCCTTTGCAGGGGGCTGGCGTAGTGGGGGCTGGGTTACGCCCCAACACCCGGCTTGGCGTGCCATCCTCGGGGTCCCGGGAGCCCCTCTTGCTGCAGTTCCTGGCCCCCTCTCTGCCTGCCTGCCTCCTTCCAGCTCAGGGAGCTATCCGCTCCGAGGTGCTCAAGGCCACTTCCCACACCCTCCGAGCGCAGGCTGGAGGAACTGGGAACAGCGATCCAGTCCTCATTCACTGATCAGACATCAGCTCCAAGTGTGCAACTAACCCTAAACCCGCCTTCCCCCGCGACCCACGTCTCATCCTTGCTGGCCAGAGGACCTGACACTTCCCAGGGCGAAAGACTTGTGACTGCCTTGGCTGTTAAACCTTTGGTCCACCCAGCCAATATTCTGGGCAGCCTGTCTCTATTTTCCGTGCCCCCGGCAGGCTATTTTGGGGTGTTTCTAGGCCAAGCATAAGACGGCTATAGGTCATAATAAATTATATAATAAAGTGAGACCTTTCGGATTTGGGTAGACTAGTCAGAAAGTGAAAGGTGAGGAATCGCAGGATGCACCCGGAGACGGATGAAATGGAAAGGGGACCTTTAGCCCAGTCCGCGGTTGACCCGCAAAGTTGAAATCCTATTTCTGGCCACTTGTCAAAAGCAGGCTTTCCTTTCCCAAAGTGGTGGCGATCTGATGGTCTCACTTTTCTCTGTGCCTCTCTCTGATCCTCTCCCCACCCCTGTCTAATGTAGTTTCTCTGTTACCCTTTCTCCCATAGCGCCTTTTCTTTTGTACAGAACAGCAGGACATGTTTCTTTGAGTTTGTTTAACATTTATCTCCCCTCCATAAGCTCCCTGCCATAGGGACGGGGCTGTGTCACCCCGTTTTTGCTCAGAGCTCTTCCGTGCTGGCTGGCCCGGAACAGGCCCCAAATAAATATTTATTGAGTGAATGAAGGAAGGAGTATGAAACCTTCGTACTCTGTGGAAGACAAGACACTTAGCTCCACATTCTCATTTTTCTTTGGCACCCGCTGAGATGCTTTAGTGCCATCATGGGCAAACTGCGGCTCGCGAGCCACATGCGGCTCTTTGGCCCCTTGAGTGTGGCTCTTCCACAAAATACCATGTAGCCTAATTAAGTTAATAACAGTGAAATATTGATATAGTCTAAGTTTAAAAAATGTGTCTCTCAAAAGAAATTTCAATTGTACTGTTGATATTTGGCTCTGTTGACTAATGAGTTTGCCGACCACTGCCCCATAGGTAACGGAAAATGCTGTTTTGATCACCTTTCGTGTTGGATGGGTTGCGGAGATGGTTACACACACACACACACACACACACACACATGAAAATTAGATCCAAATGTCTTCTCCTGTGTCTGAACTGTGCTTTTTCTGTCTCAGTGGGAAGAGGACTCAGTCCTATTGAAGAAGAAATGACCTGTTTATTATTCAAGTCTGAACTGTTTTCATTATCCAGCGCCATCTAAGAAAATTAGAGAGTGCTTCTGTAGTTTAGAGTCCTTACATGCTTAAGCTTTATTTTTATTTTTTACTCTAAGCATTACAAAACAGGGAGGGTGGTGCAGAAAATGATCTTCATTTTTTCAGGTGTTAATTCTTGAAGGTAAAGGCAATAAAATTAAAATGAATACTGTCATTGAACTCTTTAAAATGCTTCTAGTGGGATTGAAGGTGTTTGCAGTAGCTTGTGCCTAAAGATCACCTACTCTTTCTAAAGCATCTTCAGCGGTGTATTTGTGATCAAGAACAGGTATTTAACAGCTGGTTCTGTATGTTTCCCGGCAGAGCCACCTCACAGCACTGTTTCTGAAGCAGGTCCTCGTGTATGCGCACGCACACACCCTGGCATGCGGCACCCATCCTTCCCCATTTCCCAAATCTTTGGTTTTTGGATTTGTTCAGTTCATCAATTTGAGACACCTGCAGTCTTACCTGGCCCGATGATTCTTCTGTTGATGGATAACGCGATAAATCTGTATGATATAGTCTTTGATCTGAAAAATAACTGAAAAGTATCAACTGCCCAGCCTGGAAATAAAGCCAGTTAGTTGTGAGAGGCCATCTGAGCTTGTGGGGAGATGCCTGTGGACCCAATACAGGGAAAGCCTCTTGTAATTACAATTGCACACTTATTATACCACCCGAATCTGTGAGGAGTGAAAGATGGGCAACACCAGCAAATGATTTCCATTTAAAGAATCCCAGAGTAGCCGAAACCTGTTTGGCTTGGTGGATAGAGCATCGGCCTGCGGACTGAAGGGTCCCAGGTTCGATTCTGGTCAAGGGAATGTACTTTGGTTGCGGGCACATCCCCAGTGGGGTGTCGTGGAAGCAGCTATGATGCTTCTCTCTCATCGATGTTTCTAACTCTCTGTCCCTCTCCCTTCCTCTCTGTGAAAAATCAATAAAATATATATTTTTTAAAAGAATCCCAGAGTAACAACAAAGTTTGGACTGTGTTTAGCAATGTATTGTTTTGGTGATAGAATGCTTTATGCTGAACTAAAGCGAAATGAGTATCACGTGTTGGCCTCCACAAATAGTTGTGAGTTAGAAATGGAAGTGAAGGCTCTACGTTTATGGCTCATGACTGTAGGTCCGCCACGGCACAGGCAAACCATCTTGGTTGTACAGACCCTGGTTGTTTCCTCTCTGACCACCTCAGTTCCTTTTGCACTGTTGACATTCTCTCATCAATTCTTATATTTGTAATTTGTTTTAAAGTAGGTTGTATACAGTGGTCAGTATCCATCCATCCATCCATCCATCCAATGTTCATTGACCCCCTGCTTTGTGCCAGGCATTGTACTAGAACAGTGGTCGGCAAACCACGGCTCTCAAACCACATGCGGCTCTTTGACCCCTTGAGTGTGGCTCTTCCACAAAATACCACGTGCGGGCGCGCACATACAGTGCGATTGAAACTTCGTGGCCCATGCGCAGAAGTTGGTTTTCAGCTCTCAAAAGAAATGTCAATCGTTGTGCTGTTGATAGTTGGCTCTGTTGACTAATGAGTTTGCCGACTATTGTACTAGAAACAGGTGGACAACGCATGCAGACCTGCTGGCATGGGCGTCTCTGTCAAGTGCAAGAGGTAAACTTGAGTGCAGCGCTCACAGCAGTATGTAATTAAAAGCCATGTTTATAGGTTCACGAAAAGGCAGGTTTCATGAAAGGAGATTAGAGAGGGGGATTCTGAGTTAGGCTGCAGCAGGGTAAGGGTAGTGCATCAAGGAGATGGTGTTTGAGATGAAATCTGAAAGTTGGATAGGAGTTGTCACTTCCCTCCAGCCTAAGGTTGCCCAGATGTCCCGCTTTTGGCGGGACAGTCCCGATTTTTAACAATTTGTGTTTAAAAAATCCCGATTTCGGGACGCGGGACATATTATTAAAAATCGGGACTGTCCCACTAAAAGTGGGAAGTCTGGTCACCTTATTCCAGCCACACTCGCAGGAACACACCTGGAGTGGAACACCTTTCAGGGAGGAAGAACGCACACCTCGGGGCACGGTGGAGCATCACAACCAGAGGGTGTCAGGAAGGCCCACGTGTGGGATTGGGCCCGGATTAGGTGTTTGGGGGGAGCATTTAAGGACACCGGGCACTGCTCAGGGCTGGGGGCAGGGTGATTCCATGATTGGGTGCCTTAATCGATGCCATCTGGAAGCAGGAAGACTAGGCAGAGGCTGTGATGGGCAAAGAAGCAGCCGCCACTCATTAGCCGGGATTGGGGGCTGTTCTGTGATGTTTGTGGCTTGGCCGAGGTTCCTGCTTTGTCTGCGTTCAGACATGGTTCCTGAATGGCCTTGTTTTCGTCTTGTCCCACGCTGGTCGGAGTGGCCTTGTCTGTTGTTTGTGTTCTGCGCAGTTGTTTATGCGCAACAGGAAAGTGCCTGGCCAGCTTCCGGACGGCAGGGCTGCTTGCTCTGTCCCTGAGTTAACTACGTGATGAATCAGGGCAGAGGATCGGAGCTGGGAGGGAGGAGAATGGCTTTCTAGGTATATGCCGTGGCTAATGTTTGAATATCGGCTAGCTCTCGTCCTGGGACTGTTTTTTCAACTTTAAGCAGAATGGACAACTGCAATGCTGTCCCAGGGGCAGAGATCCAGAGGAAAGCAGAGCAAGCTGCTAAGGAGCATGAAGTCAAGGCTGCTCTGAGTGGGAGAGATGCAGGGCAGGAAAATATCAGACTCCTTTCAGTGGGAGAGAAGTCTCCTATGGTGGTTCTCAGAGTGTGATATGATTGACACGAGAAACCAGCAGCATCAGCCTCCCCCCGGGGTTCCATTAGAGACAAATTCTCTGGCCCCCAAAGCTGACCGACTGAATCAGGAACTCTGGTGGAGCCCGGCAGTCTGTGCATTAATGGGCCCTGCGGGTAGTTCTGGTGCAAGCTCAAGGTTGCGTCCAGAACCTCCTTGCCTTGCAGTTGAGAAAGCTGAAGGGTAGTGTATGTGGCTCACTGAAGAGTACATGGGCATTCTGGTCGTAAAGTAAGATCCCGCTGTGCCCTGGCTGGTGTGGCTCAACTGGTTGAGT